ACGAGAGACTGACTAGCCCCCCTCTGTGCAGTTGCGGCTGAGTAGCTGGGTGGGGGCTGGCTAGGCAATGATGGTTTCTTTTTGGCTCGTTTCACCTTCATTACACAAAACAGTCGTTTTTTTTTCAAAGTACTTGTTGTTTTTTTTTGCATGTCTATGCGAAGTGCAGCTTCGTTTTTTTTGTAAAAATGTTTAATAATGCTGAGTTTGACGGACGATAGGAAATAATCGAATGGTATTACCAGTACACATTAACTTTACATAATATTAAAACATAAATGATGTATAAATACATAATAAGTTTCATATGGAGTTTTATCTATCCATGCCGGATGACAATATGCATGCATTTGAAAAACTAGAAAACCATTGCTTACTTTTTTGTTCGTTTTTACGGTTGCAGTTTGCGTCGGATTTGTGCTGTCGTTGTTTGTTTCGGGACTCGTGGGGTTAACTGCGTCTTGTTGTTGTTGTTGATGTTGTGGTTGGTTTGGTGGATGGGGCTCATCGTGCTCGGGCAAAACTGGATTCTTTGAGAAAAAAAGGAATGAAATGGCAGAAAATATTTGGTGGCAATTGAGTTAATTTTGAGTTAGTTTGTTGAAAAATTAATAAAATTTTAAATCTCAAAATTAATAATTTTTGGTGCCCTTAAAATCAAATTAGTGTTTGTTTGCAGAAAGTGGATTTCGTAAAATAGTTGAAAACTACCCAAAAAATTTTTTTTAAAAACGATTCAGTGATTTTTTCTATTTTTTCTACAATTTTCTTGATTCTATGTGTGAATTGACTTTTACCAATTGATTTATTTTTCTAACAGACATAAAAAAGTGAAGACACACAACAAGGGAAAAATAATTTTCAATAATTAAACTTTATTTAAACTCCATTTCCTCGTTAGTTTGGGAGTCTGTTTCTGATTTTGGATTTCCATTTCCAGCTTCGTCTATGTTGGGAGATTCAGGAGTTGGATTGTCCTTTTCTTGTTCTTCATCTTCAGTGGCGAGTTGATTTTTGGTTACTTCCCATGAAAATCAGTGTCTTTTTCTTTATTTCGGTTGTAAAAAATTCAAAATTAAAATGCGACAAATGTTTTTTTTTGTCAAAAAAAGCCAAATTGTTGTCTTATTTGTGAAAGAACTTTTAGAGCTTCAAGTAAGTTAGTTGAATTGTTTCAGAATTTTTTTGTCCTTCACATCATCTTCGTGAATAATGGGTAGTATTCGATTTTTTGATACTCATCATTGTAATGGGGAAATAAAGTAACGCCAGCAGGTTTTTCAAAACTCATCATTTCCTCTTTTGGAAATGAGTGTAGATTTTTTTCATTCCATGTGTGAAATCGCCCTGTTTTAAATTTGATCAGATTTTTTTTGTATTTGGCTGTAAATTGTCAGAGCTAGCCTGTATGAAGGCATCAATGATTGTTTGAAAAGACTTAACAGTGCATTCCGAGGTGAATTGTAATTAATTTCAAAGTTAATTCAAAAATTTTTAAATTATCATATCAAATTTCAAATAAATTTTCGGGCTAGTTAAGCCGAGTTATTCAATGAAACTTGTAAGAGGGACCATTTTCACTATCTGCAGTAAGTTTGAAGTTAATGGCATGAACTATTTACCAAGCGACAAGGATAACGCAACATAAACGAGTTGCGGTGTTCAAATCTTGGATTTAATGTGTGTTTTTTGAAAATTGGTGAAATTTAAATAGTTTCTTGGATTAAGAGTTTAAGAACTATTATAGCTCCATTCTTCAATATGCATTTTCAACGAACGTCGCCCAGGATATCTGGAATAAGTGATTTTTCCAAAGTTAGTTAATGTGTTGAATTGCTTTGTACGGTTATCCGACTGAATACACGAATTAATCCTACATACTATTTCATGCGTTTGTAAAAACGTCTTTCATTAACTCATTGATAACTGGCAGGTTGAGATCCAGAAAACTGGAAAAAATTTCAACCTGTGTACAGATACTTTCAAATGGGGTTTAACTCTGATTGTTTTCTGTGGTTCAATCTGAATCTTAAGTTTTATTGAGTTTGAACTAAATTTAGACCGCTAATGTCTGTGAAAAAAAAAAAGAATTTTTGAAGGAAAATCTCAGAAGTTGCGTTGAATTTTGTCCTTTTGTGTATCTGCGATCTAGGATAAACTAATATTTGCCTAAATATTATCAGCCATCTCCGATATCATTTATTTTCATTTCTGAAAATGTGATTCTTTTCGAAATTCACATTCTTCATTTTCGAAACTCGTCTAACCCCCCCCCCTTTCCCCAGACTACGAATATCAAGAGTAGGAAAATTATTATTACCAGGCGCTTTGTGTTAAATCAGTTTTTGCCAGTTTAGTGGCTTTGTTAAATTCACTGATTTTGAGTCAAATTAGTGGTGCCAGATTTTGAGCCAAAATTTTGTTGTAAATGAATGGAATGGTATCTCTTTTGCTTCTTGCAGCAGCATGACATAACACAATTTCATTGGTAGTTGGTCTTGTTAGTACATTAGTGGACAAAATAAGGCTAAAACTCAAGTTTTTCTCTCTCTAAGATGCTTGTTTATGGATGATTTTGGATATAGATAAAGAGCAAATGAACAGAGTTGCCCTCTATGAAATTATCAAAATTTAGTATCAAAGAAGGGTCAAATTAATCAAGTTAACATCCTCCTCTTAGATAGACCAAGTTAAAATCTTCCACCCCAGCATTTAATTCGCATTGAATTTGCTAAGCGCTGCATGTAAAATGCTCGATTCTGAGTGGCTGAAAGTTTCTAACTTAGAACCAAGTTAACATCCCCCAAACGGCTATAGGCGTTGGGGGGGGGGGGGGGGATGTTAACTTGATCCTCAAAGAATTACCAGTTTTTTTGGGTTTGAAAATACCAGCTTTCACCAACTGCACCAAGGGTTGCGTCGGTGTGAACTTCTTTCTAGAAAAAGCGGGGGAAAATGTTGTTCATGCGATGTGAAACATTTTAAGCACTATAATTGAATTGTTCAGTGTGACAGACAACTTACTGAACTCAAGTGTTTCTTACAACTTCACCCGGAAAAAACTGCTTAGCTTTTGAAACCAAATTTTGATAATTTCGTAGAGGGCAGCTCTGATCATTTGCTCTTGGTCTATGCAAAGTTTTTGTTCAAACTCTCAGTAAAAGTTGTCCAAAATCATCCTCGAATACATGCATTGTAAAGAGAAAAAACCTGAATTTGCGCTTAGTTTTGTCCACTAGTGTAGAAGGCTCTTTGTTTCAGTAGTTTTTCATATCGTTGCTTCACTTATTGAACTGTCGTAGCATAGCGTCAGTAGAGCATGCATCTAATGCGAAACAATACCTGCTAATTAAAGTACACGAGGCATCACTGAAGAATTAGAGGGTAGTTACTAGCTGTTTAAAAGTTTTATGTAATACATCAAAGTATTAATCTTTGGAAACTGCACTAACTTCTTCCTGAATTGTTTTACGATTCCCTGATTACGTTACCTTGTCCTTATTGCTTTTAAATCTTTTTTATATCTTATCTGCTTTTGTGCACTTCGGCACTCTTGCGTCGAATCCTTGGTGACTTTATGTTCCGATTTTCGAAGAAAACGGAATGTTTATGCTCGGTGTGGTTTTTTATTCAGTCAATTTTCACCGATCGAAATTAAAGATTTCGAGAAATTTTTTTAGATCCCATTGAAAATATCGGATTCCTGAGTTCAAACTTAAAAAGATATTTTACCTCCAATTTTTTTTTGTAAAGTTCTGGGGTTTTGAAAATTGCCAAATTGGCCATTTTTTGGATTAAATTATGTGCGCTTTAATAATCTTGTTCCAAAGTGAATTGAGGCTAGCTAATTGGTCATATTAATTTAGTACGACTAAAAATTTCACTCTTTGATTTTGTCCAAAATTTATAGGTTCTCAATATTTTTTGTTCCCAAAAACTATTCGATATGAATTAAGGGACCGTCGGAACATTCAGGGTTTTGCCCTGATATACGAGCAGTCTTGTTTCCTTTTCTCATCGCCTCAGAGTGTTTCATCCCAACTGCGATAGAAGATAATAATTTCAATAATTGACATGCGAACAGATTCAGCCATGATAATTATATTTGGTCTTCATACTTAGCCTTATAAAACCACTCGTTGCACCATTAAATGGATGCACATGTGAGGTGGAGGCAAAATAAAAACAACCTCTTTAAATTATAGGTTTTACAAAGAAAAAACATGTGTGCAACATGTCTCAGTGCCTTATTTGAAGAACTAGTTCATTCTCAGTGCCATATTTGAAAAACTAGTTCATTCTCAGTGCCATATTTGAAAAACTAGTCTTAATTTGCAAAAATAGTGCAAAATCTTTTCTAGAACAATCAAACAAAACGAATGAAATAATAAAAACTGTACATTAGCTTGAAAATGTTTTCAAATGCATGTTTAGTTCGAGTTTTTCTCATTTGTTTCATAACAGATAAGCAACAGCTTATTTTGCGTCTCGAAGGTTTTTTACATCTCGACACTGCGTGTCTCGAGCTGCTTGTTAATAAAGATGACAGCCCATTAAGACAAGACAACGGGGCGTCAAATGAGCATTAAAACAGTAAATTGATCAAGTCGAATTTAAATTTGTGTTTTTCTCAGAAACACAATTGGAGAGTTTGTGTGCAGTGTCATCTGAAAGTCCCATGAAAAGTGAATGTCGTCTTAGCAGCTGTCCTTTTATTTGCGGGACACCGTTTCTCGATTTGTTCACAAACTTCCGGTCTTTTGCGTTCACGGCCCAAATTATAAAAATGTTAATTGAGCTTCTGTTTTCAATGAAAATGCTGCGAATTCTTTTTGCTGATAATAGTTTCAACCAATCAAATTAGAGCGTCATGATCGAACTTCAAAATGGCAAAAAAAAACTTTTTGGGCCGTATAACAGAAAATAGCCCAAACTTCTCGATGTTAAAGATAACTGATTAATATGAATTTTGAGTTTTATCTTTTTGTTCTGTTTGGTAGCAGTGACTACCCGTTTGTGCTGCGACTGAGCACAGACCAGCAGAGTAAGATGAAAGTCTACGAGTTGAGATCGAAGGACATCAAACAGAGAGACGAGTGGTTCCAGGCCATACAAAGTGTCATCCTCAATCCACCTGTGGGTGGGGGCACAAATCCTCAAGGTGGGGTAAATTGACGGTGAAGGGGGGAAGGGGGTGTGACGTTTAGCATTACGCGCATACATGTCAAAACTGATACTTTTTGAGTTTTCGTTCCGATCGAGCTTTGATTTAAAAAACGTGATAGTCGCATTCGGTCTCATTTTTCAGCTGAATTGATAAGTATGTATGACATGTATATCAAAAGAAAAGTTGAGTTTGTCGCGAAAGATATTTTGGAGAAACGGTACAATCCCAACACCCCAAATAGGTTTAGAGGGGATAAAAAAGATGTTCTAAAAGTCGATTTTTCGGAAGCCAATTATGCATTATTATGGTATGATTATTATCATTATTATGATTATTTTTATGCTTTTTATGAATATTATTATTATTATGATTTAACAGACTAGATGCGCGAGTGTGAAAGTGTTTTTCACAGTTTAGGTCAGTTAAAAGTCTCCATGTGCTTGATACTATCTCTGAGTAGCCGGAGTCAAAGAACCCCCAAGTTATTTTAAAACTGGAGATTTGAGACCACGGCTGTTGAAAAAGTCGACCTCTTGTTCAGTTCTGTTAATAAGTTTAGGAGTTCTTATCTAGAAGTTCGCTTCGGCAAGCTTCCGTTTCGAAATCAGTACTATGAACTGTGTGCGCTGAGCAAGTCTGGTCGCGGCAGATGTCTGTTTGAAAGTCACTTTGTCTTGTATGTTGATATCATAGTTATTTTGAACTAATTTGGAGAGATTCGAAGGTATAAAGTCAGCGCAAGAAAGTTTGCCTTCTTCAGATCTTCCAATTAGTCACGACATCCGTTAATCTAACGTGTTGTTGTCTTCTGTACTCTTTCAGGTCATCGAAATCCTGTAATATTCGGCTGAAAGCAGGGTAATGCATGAACAATTATGGGCAGAACCAGACTCTTTAGATTTGCAGCTAAAATTTGAACGTTATTTTCGGGGAGTTTATCTTTATCATAGCTAGCGCACTTAAACTTTTCGGCATTTTTCGCTCATATGACCAATCTACTAAAGATCTTTATCAATCACGACCCCAAGAATTACATGCTCGGGGACTTGTTTTATAACGTGGGGACGTGTGAACAGCTCATTGGAGCCCTGAATTTCGAGTGTTTGCCTTTTCCCGCAATAAGAGTCACTCTAATTTTTGAAGCAAGGAAATGTTTTTTTTTAGATTTACTGTAAGTTGTTTCAAATGACTTGACTTTGAAATTTTATTATTTCTTATCACTATATCGTTGTCTGTGAGCCAAATTCAGTGGCTCATCCAGCTTTTTTAATTGAAAATTCTTATTAATATCAAAAGAGGATCTCAGCACTGCTGAAGAGAGTTCACTTCGTGATCGTCAGATTATGTATTCGATCCGCTGCCATGGCATTGATAGTGTGAGAAGACGCGCGCTCCTTTGACCTCCAGCTTCGAGTCCAGCACCGCCTGACAGATTTCGGTTGCAATAGTGGTATTACGTGAAAGTTCTAGATGCAACAAAAAGAGCTTGACTCGCACAAAAAGAGCTTGACTCGCACAAAAAGAGCTTCGCTCAACAAATTAACTCAGTCTGGAATGTGGGGAAAAAAACGGACTATGCTCAGTCATGCTGCAAAGACTTTCATAGATCCTCTGCGAATCGCAGAACCGACAGCTAAATCCGAATTCGTTAATCTAAATTGTGAACTATCGGTCTGTACATGATTGGGAAATGCCATTTCGTTGCTAAAGAATTTTGAATATGCAACAGAAATTGACCAAATCAATTGTGATCAAGGTGAAAAGATAGGTACTCATTTAGAAGTATGATCACGCCGTTTTTGATAAGACCCATTCAAAAACCCATTTAAGTATTCTTGAACCACTTCAAGTGGATGAATTTAAAAGACAAATTCTAAACATTGCTTCGTTAGAATTGCCACGTACGTTTTCTTTTAATTGAAACAAGTTATTCACGGGATAAAACTGAGAAATATTTCAAGTTATTACAGAGCGAATCGGTTCGAAAAAAGATAATTTTTCTAAGCAAGGTGTTTTCTACTGTTTCTAGTTAGTTCGTTTTAGAATGAATTGAATCTGAGTAGGCAAAAATTCTGCTAAAAATTTGACCGGAATTCTCTAGACTTGAAATTGAATCGAGTTCATCTTGCCTAAAGATTCGATTTTTTTCTGAAAAAATTTCTAGTTTATTCCAGACTTTAGAATGTTCGAAACATCTAGATTTTTATTGGCCTTCCTTAAACGTTGAGCCTAAATGGTTTTCTTGCTCGTTGCGCTAAACAAAAGTAAGACATTGAACTCATTTAAACATTGCGACCGTGGTGCATTTCGACATTCATTTAATATAAAAGATTATCAAAAACATAGAAACTACCTTTAAAGGCTTTTCTGTCTGACTTAAATTTGA